TACTTTTAACACAATAGTTGCTCTTAGAAAGATCCATAAACCTTGAAAACAAATAGGCAACACCTCTAAGAAAGAAGGACACTCGCATCTACCGAAGAAATGAAATGGGAACAAACTTTCGAAGCGCAATCTTCACATGCTTTCGTTGTGGAACATTTTTCGTTACTCGCGTCAGGACCCAGTGATGTGATATACAAAGTTTCGGTCTTTAAATTCAATTTTTAAATGTGCAATTTCATAATCTTTTCGTGGTAAACTGTTTAGACACTTGAAAATAGCACGGCTTTCAAAGGTCAAACTTTTGGCGTGATTTTTACCAAATTTCAAAGGAGTGATCAGTATCATACCTTGATTTTGGAGACATATGTTTTTGTGACAAAAACTACTTCTAGTTAGTTTGTTTGTTTTTTTTTGGGGGGGGGGTTTTGTTTGTTGTTGTTGTTTCGCAGTCATTGCCCCTTAAAGGTCTATTTTCGAGTTAAATAACCTTGTCCACGCTACATCTCCGAAACCACTGGGGGATTTCACTGAAACTTCAAAGGTTTGTTTGTCACCATGCCGTTGTGCATAGTGTCCAATAGATAGGAAATTGGGAAATTTCAGAGACAGTTCACAGTGTTTGTTTGTACCCATGTTATGCATAGTGTCTTGTTTTTCTACTTGAATCTTTTTGGGGCAAAGTTATGAACCCTACATGGCCAATTTTCGGGTGAAGTAAGCTTGTACGCGCTTCATCTCTAAAGCCGCTGGGGGAGGGGGGGTCAGTGAAACTTCACAGGACTGTTTGTCACCGAGTCTAAAGTTTGCTTTCTCAGTATATTAACTTTGTCCATCCTTCATCTCCAAAACCACTTTGGAAATTTCAATTAAGTTAACGTCTATAAAGTTGTTTGCATGGTGTCTAGTTGTGCATTGTGCCATTATTTTGTGCATGAATTTTTTTCACACAGCTATAGGCCGTTTATGATGCATTTTTTAGTAAAATTTGTTTAGACTGTTTCTCCTACACATCTAGTGTATTTTCAATGAAATTTTAGGAATAATATTTATCAAAGGCGGTCGGACTCATATTTAATTAAATATCTAAGGTAATTTTATGTCAAAGCTTCCTTTCGGGGGCATAAGTCGCTTTTCAGTGACAGCTCTTGCTTTTCTTTTACTACTCGTTTATGTTTACAAAGTTCTTTATCATAACCCCTCGAGCAAGGAAACGAATGTCAGCCATTGTAAAACACATTAGACCTTACAGCTATATTAACTATTTAGGTGTGAAAATCTAATTGTTTACTAATGTGATAATGTATAAAGGAACTTCCAAAATAGTTATAAATCAGAGCGGGCGATGTGGTGCAGTGGTAACACTGTCTGACTACAGGTCTAGGGGTTGCGAGTTCGATCCCCCGCTACTCCACTGAAAAAAGCATTACAATAAAAACTACTCACACACTGACGTGACACACAGGACACTACTAACAACATACTAACACACACGACACTACTCAAACACTGACACAGAACACCACTTAACACTGACCTGACACACAGGGCACTACTGACATACTGACACAGGGCACTACTGACATACTGACACATGACACTCCTGGTATACTAAACACTACTGACATACTGACAAAGGGCACTACTGTCATACTTACACAGAGCACTACTGACATACTGACACATGACACTCCTGGTATACTAAACACTACTGACATACTTACACAGGACACTACTGACATACTGACACAGAGCACTTCTGACATACTGACACATGACACTCCTGGCATACTAAACACTACTGACATACTGACACAGGGCACTACTGTCATACTGACACAGGGCACTACTGACACAGGACACTACTGACATACTGACACAGTGCACTACTGACATACTGACACAGGACACTCCTGGTATACTAAACACTACTGACATACTGACACAGGACACTACTGACATACTGACACAGAGCACTACTGACATACTGACACATGACACTCCTGGCATACTAAACACTACTGACATACTGACACAGGGCACTACTGTCATACTGCCACAGGGCACTACTGACACAGGACACTACTGACACAGGACACTACTGACATACTGACACAGGACACTACTGACATACTGACACAGGACACTACTAACATACTAACACAGGGCACTACTGACATACAGGACACTACTGACACAGGACACTACTGACATACAAACAGGGCACTACTGACATACTGACACAGGACACTACTAACAAAACTGACACAGGACACAAACTGACATACTGACACAGCGCACAAATGACACAGGACACTACTGACACAGGACACTACTGACACAGGATACAACTGACACAGCGCACATGTGACACAGGACACACCTGACACACAGAGCACTACTGACATACCGACACAGGACACTCCTGGCATACTAAACACTACTGACATACTGACACAGGGAACTACTGACACAGGACACTACTGACATACTGACACAGGACACTACTGACATACTGGACACTACTGACATACTGACACAGGACACTACTGACATACACACAGGGCACTACTGACATACTGACACAGGACACTACTGACATACTGACACAGGACACAACTGACTCAGCGCACATGTGACACAGGACACACCTGACACACATAGCACTATTCATAACACACAGTCAACTGACACTACTCACAAAGCGTACATGACTCACAGGGCACTACTGAAACACTGACTTGACAAGTAGGACACTTCTCACAAACGACACACATGACTCAAAAACAGACATGATGCAACAGACACTCACACATGACACAACTGACCCGCCAGACACTACTAACTACACTACGCACACATCGAACATGGCACTAACACATGGCACTACTCACAGCACACTTCGCACACAGCGAACATGACTCAGATGGAATTTCTCAATCACAGATCTGACGCAAACACTGACCCGACTCTATGTAGACAGAGAACATAACTCACAGAACACAACACTCACTGCCTTGACACTTCAATCATATAATGAAAAATGGAATAACTTCAAAAAGTAAAAGAACCAGGTTTAGTATTCTTTGCTGATTATGTAAACCATTTGATCAGTTGAAAAGCTCAATTTATGGGTCAAACGTTTTACACACATATTTCAAGAATAAAAACGATCACACACTGACACTTAATAACGATCATTTCTCATAACCTTTTTCCACAAGGATGTCCTTTATCATCGTAATTGTTCATCGTATGTGTAGAAATTTTATCCAATTAGATAGAAAAAAAAATAATAAAATTCAAGTGAACATCTGATTCAGCATTTTATTCTGGTTAGATAACAAAAAAATTCAAACATAAGTTTCGAACCTAAACTTATAGAATTTTTGAATTACTTAAAACAAAGGCAATACACAAAGCTTACTCTGATTGAAAAAGTAATGGCGATAAAAAAAACTTTTGCATTGCCAAAATTAATATAAACTTTTTCGATATTAGCAAATCCATCTAATGATAAGAAGAAAAAATAACTAGAGCAATATGTTTCATTTTCTATGGTCAGAAAAAAAAACATAAAAAAATCAAACGCAAAACTATAAAACTTAACATTAAAATTAATGGGTAAAAGTGATAGCCATTACTTTTTTATCTTAATGCATTTAAAAGCAAGATGGGTAAAAACGTATATAAACAAAGAAAATGAGGTTCGTAGACACCTTTTTGTAAAGCACAAGATAAAGCAATATGGAAATTATTTTATTTTCCAATGTAATCTTTCAAAAAAAGATATCAATAATTGATATCCACATACTTCGTTAATGAATGATGTTCATTCGTCTTGGTTTCACATTCAGCATGAGCATAATAAAATCAAAAGTAATGTTAAAGACATAATGTGGAATAATTCTTGCATTAAAATTGACAATAAACTAGTTTATTATAAAACATGGCATAATAAAGACATTCTTAATGATGATTTTCAAAACGATTTACGGAATAGAAAATGTTGACTATTTAAAATACTTTATGCTTCTAAACAGCATATCAAAACACTTTCTTGATTCTATATTTATTCCGAAAAAGTACTTTCTGTTTTGAGGGGGGGGATATTTTGTTCGAATTACCAACTACCTTCTGGTGGATTCGCGCGTGTTACCAACTGAATCCATTCCTTTATTCTGTGTTTAAAAAAGTATGATGTGTTTGAACATTTCATGCTGGTAATAGTGGATTGAATTACTATCTACCACTTGTTAAATAGTTCGAAATTACTAATAACCAACTACCAGCTAGTAGGTAGTTTGTTATCCGAATATCCAACTACCAACTACCTACCAAATTGACGCTCATCAAAAATGAAATGGGCATTTTAAAGTTGATCCAAATATTGATCCTGATCCTAAAATTAATCCTGATTATTATCTGATTAGTTTTGTATTTGTTTTGTTATTTGCTAATATCATCCCGAAATAGGCTTGATTCTGTATCATTTAATTTAAGGAAAATACGATCAACTTTGTTTTGATAAAACAATGATCATAAAATCGGGATCATTTGATCCTGTTCTTGATCTTTCGTAATTAAGTGAACACGGGGTCAAATAACATACATACGAATAACGTGAACGAACATATATTTGGTGATTGCGAGATTGAGCGGTCGTGTTGCGACGTTTTAAAAACGGTAATGGGAAATGGTGCAACATTTAATGCCATTATTGCTACATTTAACGGCAAAAATATTTTGAGACATTATAGCGGCGGTTGCGACATTCAGCGGCAATAGTGTGACAGTAAGCGGTAAGTGCTTCTTAAGAGTCAGTCATTGCGACAATGCATAAAAGATATGCCAGGTCCAGATTGTGACACGGATGTGAGGACAGTAGAGCATAACCCTGTAAATTATCAGAAGACAGTACGTGCATAAACACCTATCGATCCTTGAAAACCAACACATGAGCCTTATTCTTTGAATGGAACATATATAGAATAATTGAAATATACAGCAGATTTTTATTGCAATATAAATTCATTTCAGATATCTAAGATATTGTGAAGTAATTGACTGGATTCTGGCTAAAGTGATGTCCTTGCAGAAGTTCGGTCATTTCAGGCGCCTGACCGCATGTTTGGAACGCAATCTATAATAATTGATGGAAAACATTTAACCATTTTGAACATCTTTATTGGACTTGTCCATCGTTCAGTGAGATTTTCCATTATTTTCCAAATATGTATTGACCGCATAGCGAGCAGTGCAGACTATAAGATCAGCTGGAATGAATCCTGGTCTGTACTGTTAGCAGTGCTAGATTCTGGAGCGAGGCTAATTGTTATATAAATCATATAACTTAATTTACAACAAATACAAACCTATTTTTATAGTTTATATTCCTTATCAAGGGCATTGAATCTAAAAATGATAAGAATTCTTTTCAAAGACATTTTTATTATTGGTGTCTCATCACATTTCCCAAAAAATTACTCATTGACCATATAGCTGAACCAACTTTTGCGTCTTAGAATTAAAATTGTAGAACACATGTTTGCCCATTCTATAGAATCAACAATATATTTATTTCTGGCGCTTTATCATTTTTGTTGGTTTGGTTTTAAGGCGCAACTAAGACCGAAACAGGAAAGATGGTTTGGCTTACCTCGTGTGTTACAAACTTAAAGCAACACCAGGGGTCAAAACAACCTCACCTGCTGGAGCTAAGAGATGCATAGACTCCAGTAATTCAAAACAATTTAGTCGCTTCTTGCGCGAACGCAGGGATAACTGGTATCTGCAAATTTGATGTCTTAACCCTCAGCCACAAGGATACGCGTTATCACCTTACCATGAATTAAGACATTTCAAGTCAGATAGTTTTATATTTCCCGTGACAACATTAACTATGATTTGACAAGATAACGTTTTGCTACTAAATTCATTTCTCAATTTTAATATCAATGCAATACAGATATAATGTACATCAAACAGAAAGACAAATGAAAAGATGGAAAAAAGCTAACTTATACTTACATAAAATAGCTGTAAAATGCCTCAACGAAATTGGTCGAATTCATAAGAACATTTATTAAATGCTTACCTTGAACCCATCACTTGTACACCCGAGAAACACCCCTGAGAGACTGCCAGCTGACGAATAAAGTCCGTGGTCAAAGCTTGCTATAGGTGTGTCGTACGGTATAGGATTCGAGCTTGCACAGCGTGACATTACCTGAATATTTAAAATATGACATCTTGACAACAGATTGGTATACAAGTTGTAATGTTTGTATTTAAGTTTGCAGCTTTTTAAACTAAATAATGTAATTTCAAAAAATATGGATGAGCCAACTCTCTAACGTTGTTTAAGCTTGCGGTCCGACCCTTTTGGTTTTTAAAAACAACTACAACATCCATGTTAAAACTGTAAACTTATTTGTAAATTCTTTCTCCTATGTGAACGCAAACCATGTGGAATCCGTTTTAATAGAAAGAAAAACAATCAAATACTATTAAACTAATAAAAATGGATCTGACGAATTCGCCACAATCGAGAGTCTGTCTCAGGAGTGACTTTTGTTTCTTTAAATTAAAGTCAATAAATATAAGAAGGATGATAATTTAGGTATTGTTAGAATATTATAGTTCAAACAAGCAACCATTTGTGTGTATTTATTATCTTTCAAAAACTGAAAACGTGCAACCATTCGTGAAAAACAAGAACGCACGTTGACACCCTGTTTCCATGTGGCTGGAGTTGTAGGTACATCACATTCCGTGAGAACAAACGCTTCGTGAGACGCCTGCTGTCCGTGCGCACATATTGAAGCGTTTGGGTTAGAAACAGGAGTTTGATAAGCAACTGCCACAATGGTGCTGACGTGGTTACAGCGATAGAAAATTGGTGCCGCTAAAACATGGAAAAAACATATCTCAGTACTTTTTTGTACTTTATATTGAAGTGTTCTGTTCATGTAATGTTATTTGTAGAAAATCAAAATAAAAATACAATTTAAGAAAAACAAAACTTTATCAAGTTGGCGCAGAAATTTCGGGAATGAAAAGCAAACTTTGTCCACTTTCCGGTGTCTTTTATGCTCAGAGATTAAATATATGTACGCATTTTAATCACGCATAGTTCTGCGATCAAAGTTGATTGTACCATACATTGCACAATGAACTAAAGGTATTAATATGCCATGCTTTAGCCCCCAGCCACTTTCGCGCATGAAATAAGGTGTTACGGGAGACTCCGGATTATATTGAAAATAGATATTCCTAATTTTCAAATATGATGATTTCAAAATTATGCACATGGCGTTTCAACCATTGTTTTAAATGTCTTTATAATAATCAGTTGGTATGATTTAACAATGTCAAGGAAAATAAAACGGAAACTCCGTTAAACAGGTTCGATTTGGTTTGATTCAAAGGGGTAAGATATAAAGAAATAAAGATACCTTGATTTTGAACTTGATATTTTTATTGATATTTTTATTGTTTACAACGATTAAAAGTTTCATTAATGTTTATTGTTTCATTTCAACTGATATCATGGCCATGGTCTCCGTAAAAAGTCATTGCATGGTCTTAGATGTATGCAAAACTTAACTAACCGCCTATAAACAGAAACTGTTATCAACTAGTCAACAACGTTTAAAAAAAAAACTTTTTGGAGCTGAGCGCGTGAAAAAAGTTGATTTGATATGACATGTATATCATTCAATCGAAACTGATCAACTGATCAACTGAATTCAACTGAATGCTACTGAATTCAACAAATACTGTTCTTTTGATAACCAGCAAGCTTTGTAGATGTGGAACAAATTTATTTGCAACGTTACCCTTTTCCCACTTATATACGTATAGTCATCTTTTCTATTCTCTATAGTTTACAATTTCATTTGTCTGAAACAGCATCCTTTTATCGGCGACTATGTTTATTTTTATTTGTTTAATGCAAGATTGTACAAGTAACCTTTGGAATTGCATGTTTAGGCAAATTGCGTTCTAGATAGTGGAAGAATGCTCGAATACTATTACTTATAATAAACGGTGTGACAACAGTGTATCTTAGAAATGTACCTTTTAGTCAAATAATTGATATTATTTCATTTTTATTTAATTCAAACGCATGAGAATACCCCACGATTTTGATAATCATCTTAAAATATGCAGCAAAAAAATCAACGTGGAGTCAATATGAATCACTGTTTTCCTATACTGTTTAAATCTTGACGTTTACGGACAGTAATTTCTTGTTTACTAGGTGACTTAGATTTAATACCGGTAAATGGAGCGCTTGTTGTGGTCGGCACGGTTGTGGTCGGTGCTACTGTGGATGTTGTTGTTGTAGTAGTAGTTGTTGTTGTTGAAGTCGTCGTCTTTTTTGTTGTTTTTGCTAAGAGAGTCAATAAACAGGAATTATTTTAGTTTTATTTATCCAACATCTATATATATCTACATTCCTTTCATTTATCTACATTCTTCCTGTAAAAGCAACACGCCTTCAGCTTTATGCTGATTTTCATGAAAACTTTGAAAATTGTATTAAAGAATAAAATATTGTCAAGTTAACAAAGAAAGTAATTTACACATTGCAAACGGCACGTTCAATCCAAGTACAAATTAAAAATACTGCATGAGGAAAATGCCCTGATTGAGAGTCACGCAGTAGAAATATGGTGATAAATACTGCAAGGTCAATCATTCATTGCATATAATACGTAAATCATTACTTGAATTGTGAATATTTTACTTTTCTTAAAATCTTAGTTAATTTTTCTCAAGGTTGATTTTCTTGGTGGATTTTGACTCATCTGGAGACATGCAGTTTGAATATAAATAATGTCCTCGTTCATCCTATTATATGGTTTTATTTTATTAATTTGAATGATCACCATGTCATATATTAATCGTCAGTTATGAACATGTATCTAAATATTACATTTGTTTTTACGAAATTTTCCCTTGAAATAACAAAAAAAATACCCGTTGATATTTGTTGATCGCAATGCTGACCATGCCATCCATGGTTACAATTACAATGGTATGAGAAACCAAATAAACTCGTATATATACTGTTATGTGCGCAAACTCCGTGCACGCAGTAGATATTGCCGCAATGCGTTGTGCCACTTGCTGCCGAGTGAAAGGTTTAAAGCTATATCTTATGAAATATTTTTATTATATCTATACATACTGAACTTCCAGTTATAACATAGATGGCTTATACACAAAATATTGCAAGTAAACAAAATAAATTGTTCGGATCAAAAATATTACTTTTGCTTTTTTAAGAAGGGTTTCATCCATTTTGCAATGATTTTGCTTTTAATTAAAACAATATTATTTCATATTTATTTCATACAAGCATTTGGAAGTATTCTTTTTTATTATTAAAAAATGTAAGCAGATACATAGGCTACAGCTATAGGTGTTTATAAATTTGAAATAAAAATAAAGAAAAAAGCAATTTACGTGCTCCTTATTTGGAAAAAGCTCGTTATTTTGGGAAATACATGTAATTCTAAAGCATGCGACGAAATGTCAGCGTAAGTTTAAAAATATATAATAATTTTGGTAGACTCAAAAGTACTACCACACATGTCTTTTTGTGAAACATTTTAAGCATGGCTTTGTTAAAATGAAAATAAATAGATATACGATTATCAACTATGACTAACGTGCCCTCTGCCATTGTTGTAATTCGTACACGGTCCGTTGGTTGTCTTCAGAATTTCTATTGCACAATTATTTCAAATATTTCTTTATAGAATTGTCTGACATCTCATAAAGGCAATGCATATAAAATCCCCTGTATAACCTACTTTGTTTTCATTGTAAAACAGGCAATCCTGTGTTGAAGAACACCCCCGAAAAATGTCACCATTGGAATAATCAAAGGGCTGCAGCTCTATGGTATTTTCTGATTTTTGCAATCTAAATCATACTGACTATCTGTATGTACTTTCCTTTATAAGTTTATTTTTATATAATATAATTCATCTTACGCAGCGACAGCGTTTTGATTTTCTTCTATAACAGTTTGAGATTGATACATATGGAATTTTGCATGAAAAAAAAAATAGAATTGCCTCGACTAGGATTTTAACCATAGGCCTCTCACACTCTCAACAAGACCGCTTACCTCTGCACCACGGCGAAGTTATACATATGTACTTTGAATAAAAACGAATACTTTATGTAATTCTAAATTGAGAATTTCCATATCGTGTTTGTAATCCTTATTAATTTCGAGGTATTTTGTTCACGATAAACCTATTGTTTAACACTGATGAAAATAATTTAGCGAAAATCTTCTCGCCAAAACAGTCCGACATGTATATATTCCACTACTCGACAGTCAGATTTATTTGTGTACTACGTTCTGGAGTATTCGGTAATCGACATAGCTAAAATAGCATTTTCATTGATTAAAATGATATTCATGATAATCCGAAGCTTTACGGAAATAGCCGAACATTTTTCATTGGGTAAAAAAGATATTCATCCGCGAAATTTGTGATTGTAACCTCATATTTCTGTTGACTTATCTAAACTTTTAATGCTCTGTAATTCGTTAAATGCCTTCATTAAAAATTATTCTTTCTTTTAAATTGCTGGTTTTTAAGCAGTTTTGAGTGAGAACTGCTTTGCGTTGTTAGGACTGTGAGGAAATTTTGTGTTAGACCGTGGATGTTATATAGCTATGTATTTACTGATCTTACGATCAGAAAATACAAAAACCACTTTTTAACAAAAAAACATTTATTAAAAAGAAAAAAAAATCCAAATAAAGACCACTTGTCAATAAAAGCCAAAGGAGGCCTATCCTTTCAATGGCTATTGATCACAGTTTGACTGTTTTGGTTTGAATTTTTTTATGTACATTTTATGATACTTAAGGGAAGGGCATTCACTTATGTTGTTAAAACTTGTTCAACACTTTTAACCTTTATAAAAAAATTTATATGTAAAAAATATGACTTAAGATTATTAACAAAAAGCAATTAAATATGATCAAACTGAAAATCAACAAGTCCCTATGTCAGTGCTCAGTGATCTAGAATTACCGGGAATCCATGATCACTTAGTCCAATCCCCGGCTAGATGGGATTTTTCATATGTATTTGCATTTTTTGTGTTACTAGTTTGAATGTTGGCTGACCATTAATCAATGCAGCCCGACATGTTTATATAATTATACGCATTTTTCTGTGATGTTACTTACATGTATATTGCTGTGTACAGTACGTTCCATGCCATCCTGAATCACACTGACAACGATCACTGTGCATGATGACTTGATACACATTTTCCATGGCTACCACAGTGACCGTGACAATAGTCACTCGTTTGCGTGTGTGACCCGGAAACTGAAAATGAAGTTTAAAATACCGGTATCTCAAGATGGTATTCTGGAGCTTGTATTTGACTCAAGTAAAATTCAACTAGGCTAAGATCTCAAAAAAAAACTTCTTTCGGAGGTAAACGATAAATCACTGTGTCGTTACTTCAGGACAGATGCATGACGGCGATTTTAAGTGTCAACAAAGGTATAGTGTTGTATTATTGTATATATTTTGCAAAATCTGCATCAAAAATCGAATAGTTTGAAATAGTAAAACTAAGAAAAGGAAAATGTCAGCGTGAGTTTAGAAATATAAAATATCACTTTTTGGTAAATACAATAGCTCTACAAATAATAATTGTTGGGTTACATTTTTAGTATTACTTTGATAAAATGAAAGTAATAAATGTACGATTAACAACGATACGATATGTACGAGTCACGTGCCCTCTGTCGTACATAGTCCATTGATTTTGTTCAGGCATTATCTTTTGAATTATCTATTGTATTATTATTTCAAATGTTTCTTTATAGAATTGTATGACATTTCATCAAGGCAGTGTAGAAATAAGAGCGCCTGTATAACCTTCTATGGTTTCAACGTTAAACATGTACAGACAATCATGTTTTAAGACCAACTCCGAATAAAGGTCACTATGTTAATAAAGACCACTTGTAACAAATATCCATTGATTAATGGAAGAACTACCTCCAAATAAAGACCACTTGTCAATAAAAACCATGGTAGGCTTATCCTTTCAATGGCTATTGATCACAGGTTTAACTGTGTTTGTTTATACATTTTATGATACTTAATAGACGCTGGGCTAGCATAACCCCCCTTACCCCCCCCCCCCCTAGGTATTTTTGTACACCTATATAGTATTGAAGCTTAGGGTATGTTCTATCGATTGGCACTTGTTGTTCAGCTGAAACGTTTACCATGAATCCAATAGAACAAGTTGATTATCTCCCCTTGAATCATATTTTTTCTATATAAATTTTATAAGAGTTCTTCATACATCTTTTCTATGGCGAAGTAAGTTTGTGATCTAAACATTGTTTTGAGTTGTAAATATATGTTTTATGATTTATACAAAAAAATTAAGTTTTAACATAAAAAATAACATAATTAATGGTGTCCGCCATTTTAAAATGGCCGCCAATTATTGAACAGATAAACAATTCATAACAATATTTAATGTATTTATACCCATTTATAAATAGTTTAATGTAATTATTAAATATTTATGAAATGCTTAGTTGAACTAACTCTTTGCTAGGTAGAATTTTAAATAGTCTGCTCTTGTATATTATTTCAATTTTATAGAGATATGAACATAATTGGGGGGGTCGATTTGAGCTGCCTTTATAGTTCGATAAGATACATGTACTTTTAATTGAATTTCATGCGAATATTGACTTTTTGTCCTCTCTAGAAACTTTATATACTCTCACTTATATGAAAAACAACTTAAAAAGTTGGTAGTTGACTTATCCGTTCCGTTCCTGCTTCTGTATTTTATTATGACTATATTGAATAGTAAAGCTTACCCGCACCAAATTGACTATTTGACAGAAAGGCTGTATTTTCATATGACTATATTGAATTGTAAAGCTTACCCGCACCAAAATGACTATTTAATTGACAGAAATGCTGCTCTTTGAGTTCCATCAAGGGAAACTGTTCTTACTCTTATTTTATTCAGTTGGTAGCTTTTCATTATTATTAGAATGATAATTGAGATCAATGCATTACATTTCATTATCATTGTTACTCCCCTTTAAAAAATATTACTTCCCATATTTTCATTGCGCCATTAGAAAAAAGCAGAAGTATAATGGTATGCTTCTCCCTGAAAATCAATTGTTTTATAGTGATTTTGTTGATTAAATCTATCTTTTTTGAAATGCAACACAGCATATGACAGCATAATACACTGATGAATCATTTCGGACATTGTCAGTAATACTCTCAGATTTTGGAGTTGAAAACTGTGTAACAGTACTCTTGATCAGGACATTGTTCCCCTGATGCAATTTCTGCGAAAAGCAATTTGATAACACATTTGTGCTGGGACCATTTCCATCTAATCCATCTAAATAACAACCCATACTGCACACAGAATTGTCATTCAAGAAAGAGAACAGTCGTAAGATGATGATGACACTAAAAGAGAACAAACATCCACTTATATATCAAATATACAGGCGACTAAGGCACGCACTGTTAAATACAATCCTGAAGAATTGGCTGAATTATTTGGAAATAAGAACCATTTATCAATACTTTTTGGCAAAGGAAATGTTTCCGGTTTTGCTGTTCCATCTGAACTTCTCTGGTTCATGTGTAGATGACAAGCAGATTGTTGGGCTGGCTGGATCTCTCGAACCTCTGAGTTGCAAGATCAAACGTCCTCTACATGTCTACCAATGTATTTGAACTGCCCAAAGTACAAAAAATGCCAGTGTTCAGAAAAATATAGAAATTTTAAGTGTTCCAAGAGCTCTAAACCAACAGTACACATTTGTGACCTTTGATTTGGCTGCTGCTAAAAGGCATATTCTTTAGTATGGAAAATCCAACAAAGTACAGTGATACTATCAAACATTTAGGGGCTTTTCGTTTGCTTGGTTCATACCAGGAAGTCGTTTCTAAGAAATCTTGATAGAGAAGAGTGAATGTGTTAATGTGTTTACAGTTGAAGCTCCCGAAAGACTGCTTTTTGAAGATTTTGTAGCAGCAGTTATCCAAATCCACAACTCTAGTGCATTGGAAGATATTAACCAAGCGTTAAATGTGCTAGCTGAGAATCAAAGACATGAACACCTTGTAGGTGTGTTAGCTAATGATTCTGTTTTTGAACTTTATAAGAGGTATCAACAGTTCACGGAAGACGTCGGAAATGGTCACTTAGGGAAGAAGGCACAGTTTTGAATGGATTTATTGTTAAGATTTGGCTTGTTCTTCGTTTTATGAGAGCAACGAAGGAAAATGATTTTCACCTATACATATCAACATTATAAAATATGCTACAATTATTCTTTGCATATGATCATCAAAACTATGCAAAATATCTATCTAACTATGCAAAATATCTATCTGTATATGTTCTTATGTTAAGCACACCCAGGATCAAGAGAGCTTCTTCAAAAATGCTGTTAATATAACTATTGAGCAAATAATAAACAAACATGCAAAGACTCGTAGAGGCATAATAGGATTTAGCAGAAACTTTGCTGCCTACTACAGATGGAGTTAAACACAACACTCGAGAGCCAGCTATGTTGAGGCTACATTCTGCATGGCCGGCATATCATCAGTGGATTCTTCACACATTGATACACAACCAGCAAATATAGCAGCATTTGAAAAAAATGTCACGAAACTCAAAGAATCAATAACTAACTTTATGAATTCATTTGTAACAGATAATAGGGATGTGTTGTTCTGTTTTAGTTCAGGGGCTCCTGCACCAGAAAAGATCGAAAAGAGTCTGCTTGATTCCTATCGAAATGGACTTGAGGCACACAAAAAGCTCGTCCAAGAACGTCTGGTTGATAAAACTGTTAGTTTGTATGCTCCACTGAAGAAGCAAAACTGTAAAACATTTGCCGATACAAAGAAATTTAAGAAAGTGGCATAAACTCAGAACAATCTTATCGAAGATAAGGCCGCTGGCAATATCTTCGGTCAGCTTATCATGTTATCAGATCGAAATGACATTATCCTTATAAGACACTAACGTACCCGCTTGGACCAGTCCCTTGGTCTCTAGCTTCAGCAGATGGCTTACCAACAAAGACTGCCAAGGCAAAACTATTGCATGATCTCGAAGGCGATTTAAAAATATACAATGAACAGAGGTCAGGTAGCAAAAACATGATATACATATATCTTCAAACACTTTCTTGTCTCCCTTCATCCTTTAAAGACGCACGGAAAAAGATTTTGAGATTTTACTAAAATGTGAGCGTGCAGACTTAGTGACAGATGCATACAAAACAGAATTTATCAAATCTGCAAAAAGGTCATGAAGTGGAATGAGTGATACATACCTGATAAATTGCAACAAAACCAAAGTTTTGGTAAACTGAAAAGGTTTTGTTTGTTATAATGATAAAATTAAGAAACAATTGATAAGATTTACATTAGAGGAATTGTTAATAAGTTAAATATGCAGGGAAATTGGATGGAAGGAGAATCTTGTGCTTGTGAAGTTTGTTTGTTTGTTTGTTTCATTTTACCCCTTTTCCTAACAGTATTTCAGTCATATTGGCGGGTAGTTTCTTAACCATCGTTCCTGGAGAGTTACAACAGTACTAGACTACCTTCCTCTGTGCTAAACTACCAAAGCATCTCCCGGGGATCAAACTCAGACATGTGTATTCCTCCAAAGTAAAGATGGAAAAGTAGAAGTAATACCAGATCTACATACGTCTCAGGAGGAAGCCGATACATGAATTATGTTACATATGCAACATGCGGCTAAAAATAATGACAAAGCAATAATTTTACTTTCTCCTGATACTAATGTTATGGTATTACTTCTAACGTAAGCACCACAGTCTATCAACAGTTTAATACTTTTTGACACTGGTGTGGCTTATAATAGAAGACTGTTAAAAGTGAATAAAATCATTGGTAGACTAGGAGATCTTTGGAAAGCATTGATTGGGCTACTTATTTTCACCGGATGTGATACCACGAGCCCTTTTTTATAAGGAGGGGGAATTATAACCAGTTTTCAAGAGAATGGGCAAGAGTGTTGATATTCAAGAAGAAGATTTCAAAATTCTAGAACAGTTTGTTTGCATTTAATACAGGAACGGCAAATAAAGTATCTTAAATAAGTTGCGCATTGACATTTTCAGACAAAAATTTAGACCAAATGCAGACATACTTACAATTACCTATGTTATTGACTTGCATTCAATACCACTATATCTTTCCACATTAAAGATGCATTTTTTAGATCAAATTACCAAGTATTTGTGTGGTGAATTGCCTATTGCCAATTCCCAACTATTCCAAGTCCTAATAGATATGGGTGGAATACTAGTTCAACCGCAGGTCTTACATATACACTGTACCTGGACAGTACAACCACCAGAATTAATTGAAATCATAGCTAATAAAAATGCAAGTGAAGTGTTAGAAGATGATCAAAATGAAGAAGGTGATCTAGAGGAAATTGAGATGGAAATTTATATTGATGTCATTTTCGAAGAAGATTTCGAGTAATAATTAGTATGTGACAAAAAAGCTATATTGTAAAACATTGGAAAAGTGGGGGGGGGGGGTAATTTATATCCTTTAATAGCATTATTATTAAACCAAATTGAACAACAAAAAGTCTATTTAACTTCTATAATATTTATACAAACAATTTTTTTTATAATTAAGTGATGATTTGCTTTTTTCAAACAAAACCACAAAGTTTATATTAAAATGTTAATAAAATAACAGGAAAATGGCGGCCATTTTGAATTTGGCCGCCATTTTGAAAAGTAATAACATCAATTAATTATGAAGTAAATCATTTTATAGACCTTGTCTATGATCTAAAACAAAAACCGACCACATAACAATTCATTTGGTTAAAAAATTAATGGTTATTTCAATTAGGCTGTTTTTTTAAGAAATTGTGACAGGGGCAGATAATTCACATTGGCTTGTGTCTTAATGGTAACGTTTCAGTCAAACAACAACTTGCAAATGTCTTCCTATATGTTTATCTTTAAAACTACATGGGTCCCATAAAATAGACAGAGGGGGTAACCTTTTCCATTTCTAGCTCATACTCTATAAGGGAAGAACAGTCACTTATCTTGTAAGAACTTGTTGTTCAACACTTTGACCTTTATTTAAGTTTTTATACATGTATGTAAGAAAATATGACTATATATTGTAAACAAAGAGCAATTAAATATTATCAAACTAAAAAGCAAAAGTCCCCAACAAATATGTCAGTGCTCAGTGATCTAGATTTACTTGTAAGCCGATGATCACTTAATTCATTCCCGAGCTGCATGGGATTTTCTATATGAATTTGCATTTTGTGTTACTAGTTTGAAATTTGGCTGACTATTTATCAATGTAGTCCGATATGTCTATATAATTACAGTAAAAACCCTCAATTAAGACCACCATCGGGACTGAACCAAAGTGGTCTTAATTGCGGGGTGGTCTTTATTGTGGATATTCTTATCATTGCTTACACACGTTATGACCAGGGCCTATTTTAGTCATTTTGTATGGAATCAATATGTATCTTAACCTACAATATGAAAGTAGGTTATAATGTTACATCTGATGGAAAGAAAACATATTTCTGAAAAAATTTAATATCAAATTTTCTTTGTTCTGTTTTCAATAGTAATTGTTGTATGATGTACATAATTCACGTATCATATCAGACATTATTTCTTCACAAAACAAATGTGCATAAAGCAACATTAAACCACTATGAAATTATTATTCTCACCTTTTTTCATTAAATATCCCATAAATAACAGTTTTTGACACCTTGTGTAATCAAGTGTCATGCCTAAGAGCAATAAAGCAGATATATAACAACATAACAACACATTTAAGATATAGGAAGGTGTTAATTTGAATATCAGTGGTCTCAATAGTGAGGTCAAATAAAGAACAAAATAATGAATTGGGACTGAATTTGTTGGTCTAAAAAGTGGATTTATATTCTGGATCATGTAACCATTGAAATACAGAACAGAAAATTCCGTTCTTTTAAAAACTGGTCTTAAAAGCGGGGTGGTCTTAAATCCGAGGTGGTCTTTAGTAGGGATTCTACTGTATACGCATTTTTCTGTGGTGTTACTTACATGTATATTGCTGTGTACAGTACGTTCCATGCCATCCTGACTCACATTGACAACTATAACCATGATGATCAAAATGACTTGATACACATTTTCCATGGCTACCACAGTGACCGTTACAATAGTCATGCGTTTGCGTGTGTGACACGGAAGCTGAAAATGTAGTTTAAAATAGTGGTATCTCAAGATGGTATTCTGGAACTTGTATAATTCAGCTTAGCTAGGATCTCACAAGACATTTGCACTCCTGGCACGCTTGTCGCTGAATTTAAGTGTCAACAATCGTATAGTGTTGTATTATTATGTATTTTGTAAGCTCTGCATCTAATATCAATACCATGCAGACACGGGAACGTAAAGTTGATGAATTTACATTTGAACTAAAGTTATGGTGGCAATTTCAAGTATTTGATTGGACTGTGGAAGAATTGCTATTGCTCATATCTTAATTTAAACAGCAATCCGGATTAAAAACAAATACGTTTTAAGTAAACGTTATGTCTAGAATGAAACTAAACCAGAATTTAACGAAATATAGGATATTTACTGCTCTGTTGTAAAGGAGGTAGTCATGCAGCCAATGAGGTATATAATTAAAATATATGAACACTTTTTCTTACTTTACTTTTACATGTTTTAATCACTGTTTAAAGACTTTTATTTATTTTCCAATTTTAGCTTTTTACCTGTTATTACTGAATAAAACCACTTTGTTTAAAAATTACATTCATAGTAAATTTTAAATGTTTAAATTTTTTACATAGCCAAAAAAGGGGGTTTTTAAATTTTAAAATTTAAAATATTTTGATTTTTAAAAGGGCCCCTTTTTTTTAAACCCCAACATGGCGGTCAATAAATTCCAAAACGTTTTGAGCAAAGTCAGGGTGAAAAAATTTCGTCAACCGGCCTGTCTCAAAAGACCCGGGTCTAAAACCCAACATTGGGCATACATGTGTTAGAAATTTAAACAGCTTTGGGACATACGGGGTTTTTAAATTTTTCCTACGGTTTGGGTTTAATTATAAAGTATAAAGGCTAGGGTCAAATAAAAATTACTCAAGAAAACTTTCTGAGGTTAAAGATCAAATAGGATTTTTGATAAAACGCGTAAAGAGGCCATGTTTTGTTATAATTGTTGTTGTTGTTGTTGTTGTTCAAAGATTTCAAAGCAAGAACACAGTATGAGTACATTGTTCTAAAAGATTGAGTAAACCTGTGGTATTGAACCGTTTTTAGCAAAAACACTTGCATATATTTTGCCTAGCCCTTCACCTGCTGGCGACAACTATATTTACGCATGTCGAGATCAGCCGTGTCGTCTGATCATGGCCTGTACTGTTTGAAATTTAGGTCGTATGCTAAAAAAGATGGTTTTGGCCAAATTTGCAAGTCCATTATATTTAAAACGTGGTAAGGGATAACATTCGTCGTCATCTTCACTGACTGTCTTAAAGTTCTTATGGACGAAGTATGATACATTTACTCCATCGGAAATTTTAGGGTTTTTGAAGCTTGGGTTCTTTGGGCCCCTTAAAAAATTATGGGGCGTCCAAACCCAAAATATTTTCATTACATAAAAATTAAAGTTAAAAATAAAAATCCCAGTTTTCAAAAAAAAAATTTTGGCTTTTTTAATATTTTATTTCAAATTTAAAAGGAAAAAAAATAGTAAAACTTTAATTTTTTATTTTAACGTGCATTTTCCAGTTCACAGTGCGTGCCATGCCACCCAGAGGCACACTGACAGATGTAACCGTGGCCAGATGAGTGATGTACACAGCTGCCATGCCGGCTGCATTGTCTATGGCACTCGTGATCAGAAGAGTATGCCCCGGAAGCTGAACATATAACAAAAATACTAAACAGTACATGTAAACCTTTGTAGAACGACGCGAGAATGACGGCGGATGAAAGTGACAAATAATGTGCGTTAAAATCAGTTTGATTCAAATATTTGTTTCATGCTGTATTTTAGTTCGAATAATTTAGTGAATGCGGAGCGAAGATATATTTATAAATATGACGGTCAAAGTAAAATAATCTATGTCATTGAAAGCTATTGAGGTATTTGCTACTTCAAAATGCCAGCGGCAATCTTACATACATTTTAAAAGAATACAATTATAACAGATGTACGTGATGGACAAACAAATATTTGATTAGTTATAGCATCAGTATGTATATAAATAGCAAAATAAAATACACGAAAAAAGTTTTAACTATCTATTTATTTATTTTTTTATTTTTTTGTTTTTGTTTTTATAATCGACTGATATTTGTTCTTTACCATTGACAATTAGTTACTGGTATGCTGAAAGGCAGTTTCATTTAGTGAACAGTTAACTATAATGTTAAATTATGCTTGGGGGTAAATAGCTTTTTAAAAAAGGGATATAAAAAAGGAAATTATTTTAATTTCCATTTCCTGAACATTGAAATTTTGGGAAAAAGGGACTATCAAAAATTGGACATGTTTTTTTTCTGTTCAGTAAAATTATTTGTGGTGTGCGTTTTGTGAAAAAAAAAGCTTGCTCTAGACACGGGTTTTAAAATTGAAGTTTGTGTTTTTACATGCCCAATTTAACGAAAAACCGTTAAACATCAGGGAAAAGGGGCATATCTCACGTGTATTGGTTGGGGAAAAAAAGGTCTCCTTTCTTTTGGGCCCAAATAGGGTTTCGCCCTTTATATAAAGGGAACCCGCTGTATTTTTTTTTTTATACGGGCGAAAGACATTTTTAATAAAATTATTTTTGTTTAGGGGGAAAAAAAAAAAATTTTTTTTCATCTTTCACACGGTGGTGTAAGAAATTTAAAAGTGGTGTGGAATCAGTAAAAGATGCATCTCATGCACACTGTCCGAAAACTGCAACTTCGCCTAAACTGGTTTAGGTAAAGGATATGATTTGCTACTGATTCGAGACTTACAACTAGGTATAAAGTTAAATGCGTTGGAAAATCTGTAAGAGCCGCTCATCCAATTCTCAGACGTGATTTAAAAATGAGAAGGATAAGTGCCAGATGGATACCACATCTCCTTACAAAAGAGCAAAATCTTGCTCGGGTAAGAATATCCAAACAATTATTGTTGAAACAGTTCCCTTAATTCAACTATAGATCTTTTGCAAATATCATCACTGGTGATGAGACGTGGGTTCACTTTTATGAACCCAAGGGAAAGATACATAACAAAATATGGGCAACCAAAGGAAGTATAGACCGTGCATAGCAAAACGGATCATGAGTGTCAAAAAGGCCATTTTTGTAATTTTCTTTACCAATCAATGTCCTACTATTCAAATTGCCGTACCAGAGGGTAAATCTGTAAATGCCAAGTTTTACAAAGGCAAGGTCTTTCATAAACTCAAGAAATATTTTAAAAACCGTCGACCAGCAACTGGTCTCCGTGGTGTCAGGTTGTTGCATAACAATGCTTCGTCACACAAATCGGCCATTGTACGAGACTATCTGAAACAAGAAAAGGTTTTCGAGCTTCCTCACCCTCTTTATTCGCCAGATCTTGCCCCATTTGACTTCTACATATTTCCGAGGCTCAAAAACACCCTACAGAAAGAAAATGTCAAAAGCGAAAAAATCTCGGTTAGGCTATTTTCCAGGGTCTGAACAGTATATCTCGAAAATATTATAAAAACGCATTTAAAATGGATTAAAGACTAAAACTTTGTACATTTGTATATCACATGGTAGTGAATATTTTGAAGGATTGAGATAATTATTTTGGTGCTGTTTGTTAAGCACTTCTGAAAACTGAACCAGTTGCATTCATATTTGAACATCCCTCGTAATTTATTGTATTAAATCTACAGGAAAGATAACTTTATAAGTTTTTATGAATTAAGTAACAGCCTTAAACTCCATGTTATTGAAATCGGACCAAATAAGGAGACTCAATAGAGAGTGCCTTAGTCCTAATTCAAAGTTTTGAATAGACCATTAATTTTTTCCGTATACAAACATGGACATATAGCAACAAAATTTGATAAGATGAGGATGTTATGCAAAAAAAACCTGGTACACGTGTATTTGAATTAGGTTTATCGATCTAATATTAATCAAGTTTTATCAATCAGTGACTGTAGTATGCTTTATCATTTACCCAGGGTTGTTAAGTACAAATATACTAACAATATAGCAAAACTAAAACACTGATTACTCGTAGACTTATACTTTTTAAAACAGAATAACATAATTTTTAAGTATTAACTTTAAAGCAGCAAACCTCAAGGTTCACGCTTATTTTCATGAAATCTTTGTATTTTTAAAGTAATATATTGTTATTTGCATATTGCAAACGGCATATACAATCCATGTTAATTGTCAAAAAGCTGTCAAAATCTGCAAAATAGGCCTATATGCGTTAGTCGCACAGTAGAAATATGTGTTTTTTACTGCAAAATCAGTAATTAATCGAACATAACAAGTAAAGTATTACTTGAATCTTCAATCTTTTTTTAACTTTTTACTTTTCTAGATATATTAGTACATTTTTCTCAAGTTTGATTGTCTTGAAATGTCTTGGCTCAATGGGAGGCATGCAGCTTTAAGTGCCAAAGACAATAACTCAGCTATAATAATGGATTAATGCAACTTCTACTACCGCAATAAGCAACAATCAGTCTAAAGACCAAACACGTATAAGGAATTCGAAAGATTGGAATCGGCTCATTGATCCGAAGGAATGAGGAACAATTAAAATAGGTGTCGGGCGGCATGTATCGGCATGCACATTACTTAACACCGACTGTTGAATTTACGAACTTACGTATTATTTCGTGCGAACAGTGTGTTCCCTGCCCAGCCACTGCTACACTGGCACTTGTAAGAAGAATTCAGAGTCTCTCACAACAATGTCCATGATGACAGTGATGTTGACAGTGCAGCTCAAGAGCATCTGTAAATCAATAAAATGGTCGTGGTTTTGAGTAACATATTATTATACAGAGTATAAACAAAATAGCTGTAACACGTTTTCGCGAGAATATTTTCAATCAAGCTTAAATAAAAATTGTTTGAAACTAAAACAAAATCGGCATGATCTATGAAACATTTTTATTTTACACTAATACAATAAAAATAAAGAAAGTGATTGTAAATAGTAATAATAGTCAAATTAGGTTTCGGCGGATTTGTACCGGTCGCAACACTTCTTAATTATAACTTTTTTTAATTTCTTGAATGGATTTATTCAGCTCCCATTTTTGGTACCGTCATTTTTTTATTTTTTTGAGATGATTCTATGAACTTACGTAAATCTACTTGCGAACAGTCAGTTCCCTGCCAGCCAACGCTACACTGACACTTGTATGTAGAAGCATGTACTCTCACACAATGTCCATGTTCACTACCCGTGGGTGTTTACCCCTGCCCCTAAACCAAACTGAAAAAACCCAAAACAAAAAATAAAAAATTTATTTTAAAAATCATTATTTCCCTTTGAAAAAGTAAATGGGGTTAAAACTTTGGGGTGCAAGAAAAAATTTTAAACCCATTTTCGCGAGTCTTTTTTAAAATTTTAATTTAAAAATAAAGATAAAGTCCTTTTTTATTGTGGGGCAATAATTTTCCCACTAAATTATTATTAAGTAACCCAGAAAATTTTTTTTAAAGGGCTACCAAAAGGGAAAAGATTTAAAAGAGGCCCAAAGCCCTCTCAAAAATCGTGAAGTAAAAAAACCCCCTTAGCTTATTTTAAAACTTAAAAAAACTTTTTTTCGTTTTTCCCTTTTTTTGGTGCCCCAAAAATAAGCATTTTCCGATTGTCCTGTTCAACTAGATATTTTAGGGAGGGGCTTGAGAGGGGGCTGTGGGGCTTCTATCCACGAATGCTGCTCTTTTTCATTATCTTTGTTATTCGTTACATTAACTTTCTTCGAAGAATAGTTTATGTGCACCTGGCACAATTTGTCTGGTAAAATGTTTTCAGGTCACAATATGTCAAAGTCTATATTCTTTTAAGGCTGTTTTTCTATCTTGTAAGTTTTTAATGGTTATTAATGTTTTGTTATAAAAATGTTCAAGATAAACATAATGTTGTATATGTCTTCTTTCCAAATGTCTAAAAAAGTTCACATTCAACTTGTGATGTCAAATGATGTTTACTCAAAATATGCTTACCACCGCCTGGAGCTGTGCACAGTTGAAACTGTAGAAATACAATTAAAGTCACAGAAACTGTAATTGAAAGAGAAAAAAACATTGACTAAACATTATAATTTTGGCGTTCTTTTGTTTTGTTTTGTTTTTCTTTGCAGTGAAATAAGAAAATATTTGAAATAAAATTTGTATCTCATTGTTTAAAATTGCATTTGCATTGAAATAACTTTCTTTTTTTATGTGATTCGGAAGTTCACAATTTGATACGGGAAAATTTAAAATCAATACAGGTGTTGGAGCAGTACCCCTAGAACGCTTGCAGAAGTGGTGATCGATAAACAATAAGAAGAATAACAAATTTTCGTGGTGTTTTTGTTGTTGTTGATGTTGTTGTTGTTTTTTACATTTTACTGTCATTATTTTGGTAAAAAGACGAATTAGGCGTCTTTAAAAAATACTTTTATTGAATTATAAATTAAATATGTTTTTATTATGGATTATAGTGACCGAGGACGAGAAGATTTCCTGTACGGGGAAAACCCCCGAGATACCACAAAAACCTGATATTTCCACATAACAGTCGAATTCGATATATTATAACTGTTTTAATATCGCATGATAAACAAAAAATAGGAATTAAGATTGAAGAAAATAAGAAAATAAGATTGACAAAAAATTTCAATTTATGTTTTGCTTCCCTTAAATTAAATCCCCCCACGAAACTTCTGTTACTTTTTATGGTACATGTGCACATGTAAATGACAAATTTTTTCTTCTCTATTTCAATGAAAACGAATATTGTTATTTTTTTTCGGGGACTTGACATTGAAAAAATTGCATGCGAGAATATCTACTCATGAAAATGTTTATACAGACAGTTATTCCTTGCACCTATAATTACATTCAGGAAATAGGATTATGAGACCTATAAACAAGTTCAAGCCCCAGAAAAAACTTTTTCTAAACTGACAACCAAATCCATAAAGTATTTTTATGGCATGGTGCGGCGATTTTTCTTTGATGTTCCTAAGCTGTTGTATGCCAGTAATATTGGTAATCACGCACATTGCGATGTCTCAGATAACGCACACTCCTTAAGAAAAAGTGTGCGTTGTTTCAAATAAAGCACAGTCATCTAAGTACACTTGGTTCATGCATTTCCGTGACCGTAGACAAAAACAGAAGGGTCAATGGACGATACCAAAATTTAGGCTGGATAGAAAAACGAATATATTCAGACTGGGGAAAGGTAATGGGGTACTGCGGACTGGATATGGCTGTCAGTTTAGAAAAAAATTTGTCCGGGGCTTCAACAAACTTGTTTATATTATTTATTATAATAAATTTACAAACATTACGTAAACCGTAAATTGTTTTTCATTTCTTTTCATTTTTTTATTATTTTTTCTTATAACCATATTTTTTATTAAGGCAATGAAATACAAAACGTTTACCTTGCAAGTTTGGCAAATTTCACCATTGTTGATTTTGGGCGCTCTAATCGCTAATGAGATATTACAACTTATGACTTACATGACAGTCTTGCGGCAAGGAAGTACAGTTATGGGTCGACTCTAGATAAGGAAACGTGACATTTTATAGCTAAATTAGGGACAGTTGCTACAAATAATGTAAGCTACATGAAATGCAAAAACATTAAGGCCTTGCCTAGCTTGATTGTGAATTATCTAGACTTGATTTGATCATCAACAGAGAAAATAAACATATTTAAGTGCACATGACTCTAAAATGAGATCGTAATACCTATTTCATTCTCGATTATTTTCTGTACATCTTTTCTGTTTTCACAAAGATAACCATGGCCCAAATTTTTTAAGGGGGAAAAAATAATACGTGTTTTATTAGAATTTGGTTTCAGTTTTCCCAAAAACCCTTTAATTTTTGATTTTCTTTGTCAAACTATGGGGGAGATAATAATTTTCTGTCCCATTACATTTAAAAATAAATCGCTGTGGCTTTTAGGGCATGGGGCCCCGATATCATACCCCACCCTTTAACCCGTTCGGAGGAAACCCATTTTTAATTTGCGATTTCAAAACAGGACAAAACATTTCAAAATCTGTATATTTCGCCTAGGTATTTTTAAAATAAACCAGATTTAAGGGAATTTTCAAAAGTAAGTTTTTCCAAACCAGTATCGTGTATATATTTAATTTCCCCCGGGCATTGTTTTAAAAAATTTCCCCCAATTTTAAAAAGGTACTGCCGTCTAGTTTCTGGTCAACCTTTAATTTATCTTTAGGCCCTTGACAAACGTAAAAGGCAAATGGAAGCGCCCTATTGTTCATGGTTTTTCTCGTGTCGTCTTAAACGATGCGCATACATCATGTACATCGATGCATAACACTAATAAAAAAGGCATACATGAATATTTAACTACATATAACTTAGATCATGATGAGATAGAAAATTGAATATTCTAGTTTTAGTATAGTTTATTTCAAACAAATTCACAGTATATATACAAATAATACCAATTACCAATTTACACAGTACAGGCATGAATTATTGAGAAAGGATTGGCCCCTTAGGTGAGCTTTTAATAGCACTTTCCTTAATATGTCTGTTAAATTGATAAATCATGATGTGTCGAATAAGACCTACTAGTATTCCGAATAATTCGCGCTGATAAAACTCAACGAGGAGCCGACTTAGCGCAGTAAATAAATATTAACAGAAACCATATTTTTATCATAATTTTTCGTCGCTTAAAGTTTTTAAAGCATTATTTCTTCAGAAACAATATGTTGGGGTTTTTTGCTTTTTCAATAGAAAATGATACGAAAAGCTTTGGCTTTAATGGCTTTATTTATTTTTTATTATTATTTTCTTTTTATTTTTTTATAGAATAATTATAAGAAGTTTGTTGAACAAATTGACTCTAAACTGTTTTTCTGTGGTATAAAATGCATAGTAGTATAAATAAGTGCATGCACTTTCTCCCAACATTTAAACATTTCGGAAAAATCATTTCCTGGATATTGTGTCTTTCTCTGAGAAAGCGAAAACGAAAATGTTCACAATACATGTAATTGATGTTTAAAGTCATTTATTGGATTGAATCTACAGGAAAGATAAACTGATTTTAACAGCCTTAAACTCCGTGTTATTGAAATCGAACCTAACTATGAGTCTTGATTTGGAGTACTTTAGTCCTAAATGGACTTTTTAATAAACAACAAATTTCGACAAGATGACGAGCTAGGCTATTCAAATAACCTAGTAATTGAATTAGGTTTATCGATCAAATGTTTATCAAGTTTTATCAATCAATGACTGTGGTATGCTTAATCATTTACCCAGTGTTGTTAAGGACAAATATACTAACAAAACAATGCAAAACTAAAACACTGGTTACTCGTAGACTTACACATTTTTAAAACAGCACTCGAAAATGCAAAAGATAGTTAATCATATGTGGGTAAAAAAATATAAAACTTTATTTCATGACAAAATTCTCAACCACATTGTCGATATGGCGTCGAATCATATGCTTACAATATTAGAAATTATCTTTAAAGCACAGTTTTTATGTATTAACTTTAAAGCAGCAAACCTCTAGATTAACGCTAATTTTCATTAAATGTTTGTATTTAAAAGTAAAATATTGTACTTAAACATATGTTATCCATGTAAATTACTAAAAAGCGGTCAAAATATGCAAAATTACCCTTACTGCGTTTGACGCGCAGTAGAAATATGGTGATAAATACTGCAAAATCAATCATTAATCGCACATAACAAGTGAGCAATTACTTAATCTTCAATTGTCTCATGTTCGATTGTCTTGAAATGTCTTGGCTCAATGGGAGGCATGCAGCTATAAGTGCCGAAGACAATAACTCAACTATAAAAATGGTTTAATGCAATCTACTACCGCAATAAGCAATAATCTGTCTTTAGACCAAATAAAACGTACATGTATTAGGAAATCGAAGCATTGGAATCGCTCAGTATTCCGAAACAAATACTAAAAGGAATGAGAACAACTAAAATAGGTATCGGACGGCATGTTTCGGCATCAACATTAATAAACACCGACTGTTGAATTTACGAACTTACGTATTACTTCGTGCGAACAGTGTGTTCCCTGCTAGCCACTGCTACACTGGCACTTGTAAGAAGAATCAGAGTCTCTCACACAATGTCCATGATGACAGTGATGTTGACAGTGCAGCTCAAGAGCATCTGTAAATCAGTAAAATGGTCGTGATTTTCGAGTGACATATGA